CATACACACACGAGTGCACACGCACACACATACAAACATACATATATGCATATATGTACACTCACATGTCCACATACACATACAGGCATGCAAGCACACACACACACACTCATCACTTCATACAGCCTTTGATGCTGGCTATTGTTTTGTATTGTATAGACATGGCAGTTCACTGCTGCTGCTGTCTTGTACTTCGTCTCCATTAATATCCGATAATTACTTCCGTCGCAAACTTGACAAACATGGACACCACGGAATTTAACTCTAACACCTGGGGTTTTGTGAGCGTGGGTAAGAGTGTCCCATAGTAGCCCAGACAGACCTCAGACTTCTGACGCTTGTCATCCCTCAGCTTCTCAGGTGCTCTGTGTTCCTAACCTTAGGAAGGAACCAAGTCCTGTCCTGTAGCTCCTCAGCCCCATGCTGAGCCCCATGGCTGACTGTGTCCTCATCTGCCTGCCACATCCTGCTCTCATCTTCCTCCTGGGTCGACCTCCTTCCCTCCTCTTACAAGAGGGTGCTGCCAGTCCCAACCTGTGCCTCTCCCCTCCCTTTCTCACCCATACCCTCTCCTCCCCCTCACTTGTACTCCTCCCCTCCCCCCTCACCTGTGCTCCTCCCCTCCCCCTCCCTGCCTGCTCCTCCTAATGCTTTGCCAACTGCTCAGTCTCCACTAGGTACTGGAGTCTGAAAGGAATCCTTCTTGCCTTTTCCTTTCTAGTTCTGCTCTTTTGGTGTACCCTCGGGTCCTCTCCCTACCCCCAGTGACCTTCAGTTTTTCTATAATGGCAACTTCTGTGCAGCCGCAACTCAGAGCACTCTCCCAAGCCACAGACATACTTAACCTTTCTATTTGATTGTCTCACAAACATTCCAAATTCGAGCCATGCCAAACTGAACTTCTGGGTTCTACCACCCCGTCACCCAAATATGTTTGTTTTGTGGTTGTTCCCATTTTCAGACCTAGCATTCCCAGATGCCCACAGGACTCAGTCTTGATAACTCCTTGTTCCTCACTCAAACACTCTTTTCTTCTCTACCTTCTATAAATTTTACTTCCAAAATCAAATATTAGTGTATCAACCCCTTTCCATCCTGACTACTCTAAATCAGTTTGTGGGAACTGTCTTCTTGTTCTCTGACATCTAAAATAGTTTGTCCTCCGTAATCTTTTAAAAATGTACGTCAGTTTCCCCACATCCTAGAAATTATCTTCTTCATTTCCCATTGGAAGGTTCGTCTCCACCCACACCGCTGGGAGGGAAAGCTCTAACAATTTAAACTATGTTCTTTTCTCAATGAAGGTTATTTTAATAATAAAGTAACATACATACTTTATAACATAAAGTAACATACATAACAGTAGGCAAGTGACTATGCTTTCTGGACAAATAGGTAGCTCATAGATACTAGTTAAAATTAAGAAATTAGAAAAGCAGATAACAGAAAAATGGATTTATGTGTTAGTAAACACAAATAAGAAATATAGAAGCACAACCCCTTATTGTATACTAAAGCTTCATTTGCAGTTTGGTTCTGTTCTGGTCTCCTGTACATCACTGACCTGATTGGTGTGATCTTGGCCCCAGCAACACATATATTTTAATGCTCGTATGCTATTAAAAGGTTTATTTGAAAAAAAAATGTACGTCAGATCAAATCATTTTTTTTTAATTTTTGTTTCATTTACATGTATATCTCAATGTTTGTATGTGTACCTCATGCCTGCAGTACCTGTCAAGGCCAGGAGGGGCACCATATCCACTAGAACTGGAGTTAACAGGTACTTGTGTGCTGCCCAGTATGTGTGCTGAGAACCAAACACAGATCCAATACAAGAGCAGCAAGTGCTCTGAACCCAGCCAGCTCTCTGGCTCCCAAATCATCATTTTTTTCTTTTAAATCTAAAATCTGAAATGGATTTTCTCTCCCACCTAGAGAGAAATGCAGGAGT